GATTTTAATCGATAAATCGATAATCAAAACCCACCCCTAGTACTCACCAGAATCCAACATGTCCGGTGTGCAGCTGAGGTGCTTTGCTTTGTTTACGTTACGATGGGGCTGACACCGGTCTGCATTTTTGTCAGTAAAGTCAGGATGTGTGTGTCTGTGTGTGTGGTTAGTAACAGCTGCGAGGCTCCGGTAGGCTGTCAGGAGGAATGGCAAGCATCCATTCTGAGCATTCCTCGGAACACTTTCACCTCAGGAAACCACACCAACACCACACACAGGCTCGCTGCCGTCTCACGAACACCTTTAAGTACTAAAGCAACCACTTTTCAGGAACAAGATTCCCCTGAGCTGTGACATTTCCTTAGACCAACAGTTTGCTCAACTTTTAATGTGTGTAAACAAAAAGAACAGAGACTTTGCTCTGTGCACCTTCATGTCTCTTTATTGTACGCTCTGTTTTTTTTCCAGTCTTTACATCCTGTCTTGTTTTGTTTTATTGGTCTAAATTCTGGGTTACGGCTCTGTTTCTCATGCGACTAGACTTGGCTTGAGCTCAGGCATGTTATAATAACCCTGGTGCACCAGATGGGGTTATTACTTATACAAAATTATGCTTTAGAAGCCTGAAATGTGGATTTTATGTAGTTTAAAACAGCCCTCCCTGCTGAGCTGCTTTTCATGTAAAATGTAAAATAGGCCACGAAGAACAATGACAGAGACTGAAATCTTGGCAGCTTGTTCCTATTGCCATTTTTTATATTTACAATATGGTATCATACTTATATTGTGCAACATCAAAAGTTGCCATGGAAACTATTCTAATGTCAGCAGAAGACAGATGTTAGCCCTGATCTGTCCTCAGTGGATACGCTCGACATCTTCCACGGCCTGTTCTATGACACTGGATTTAATTAATGAGACACTTTTAACATTTAACCCTTTAAAGCCAGTCGGAGAGCACGCTCTGTTTTGCGTTACTATTTTTAAATCCTGGTAGCTCTGCAACCACGT